AAAAAAAAAAAAAAAAAAAAAAAAAAGGCCAGGTGCAGTAGCTCACATGTGTAATCCCAGCACTTCCGGAGACCAAGGCAGGTGATTCATAAGGTCAGGAGATCAAGACCATCCTGCCCAACATGGTGAAACCCCATCTCTACTAAAAATACAAAAATTAGCTGGGTATGGTGGCGTATGCCTGTAGTCCTAGCTACTCAGGAGGCTGAGGCAAGAGAATCACTTGAACCTGGGAGATGGAGGTTGCAGCGAGCTGAGATTGCATCATTACACTACAGCCTGGGCAACAAGAACGAAACTCTGTCTCAAAAAAAAAAAAAAAGCCAGGCGCAGTATCTGACACCCATAATCCCACACTCTGGGAGGCTGAGGGGGGTGGATCACCTGAGGTCAGCAGTTCAAGACCAGCCTGGCCAAGATGGCAAAACCCCATCTCTATTAAAAATATAAAAATTAGCCAGGTGTGGTGGTAGGTGCCTGTAATCCCAGCTACTCGGGAGGCTGAGGCAGGGACAATTGCTTGGAGGTTGCAGTGAGCCGAGATTATTACACTGCACTCCAGCCTGGATTCCATCTCAAAAAAAATAAAAAACAAAAAATGAATAGACACATTCTAACATAGGCTTCCCGTCCAAGAAATCAGGCCAAGAAAACAGACATGAAGGCAGGGTTTGGGGAAGAGTCACTGCAGTGTTATAAGAAAAGTCAAAACAATAGCCGGGCGGTGGCTCACGCCTGTAATCCCAGCACTTTGGGAGGCTGAGGTGGACAGATCACCTGAGTTCGGGAGTTCAAGACCAGCCTGACCAACATGGAGAAACCTCATCACTAAAAAATAAAAAAAAGTTTTTAAAAAGTCAAAACAATAAATATCCATCAATAAAGGAAGTAACAAACTATCATAAAACAATGAAAAACAGTGACATATGAAGTGCTCCATAAGACACTAAGTAAAAAAAGCTGGCCAGGTGCGGTGGTTCATGCCTGTAATCCCAGCACTTTGGGAGGCCAAGGCAGGTGGATCACCTGAAGTCAGGAGTTCGAGACCAGCCTGACCAACATAGTGAAAGCCCTCTCTACTAAAAGTACAAAAAAACTAACCAGGAGCAGTGGTGCATGCCTGTAATACCAGCTACGTGGGAGGCTGAGGCAGGAGAATCGCTGGAACCTGGGAGGCAGAAGCTGCAGTGAGGTGAGATCGTGCCACTGCATTCTAGCCTGGGCAAAAAAAAAAAAAGAAAAACGCTGATGATACAACAGTATGTATAGCGTAATCGCATTTATGTGAAATAAATATACCTACACATGCATTTTTTTTTTTTTTGAGACGGAATGTTGCTCTGTCGCCCAAGATGGAGTGCAGTGGCGTGATCTTGGCTCACTGTAACCTCCGCCCCCTAAGTTCAAGCAATTCTCTGCCTCAGCCTCCTGAGTAGCTGGGATTATAGGTGCCCACCACCATTCCTGGCCAATTTTTTTTTTGTATTTTTAGTAGAGACAGAGTTTTATCATCTTGGCCAGGCTGGTCTTGAACTCCTGACCTTGTGATCCACTTGCCTTGGCCTCCCAAAGTGCTGAGATTACAAGCGTGAGCCACTGCTCCCGACCTACATATTCATTTTTAATGTATGAATGGGATTATGGAAAGCTTTCCACTTTCCTTTTCTTTCTTTTTTTGAGACAGAGTCTTGCTCTGTCTCCAGGCTGGAGTGCAGTGGCAGGATCTCTGCTCACTGCAACCTCCACCTCCCAGGTTCAAGTGATTCTTCTGCCTCAGCCTCCCGAGTACCTGGGACTATAGGTGCAAACCACCACGCCCAGCTAATTTTTGTATTTTTAGTAGAGACGAGGTTTCACCATGTTGGCCAGGATGGTCTCGATCTCTTGACCTCGTGATCCACTCGCCTCAGCCTCCGAAAGTGCTGGGATTACAGGTGTGAGCCACTGCGCCTGGCCAAGCTTTCCACTTTCTAGCCGAATATTCCTAAGCTGAATGTCCCTAATCAGAAATCTCAAATCTGAAACTTTTTGAGCACCAAAAAGACACTAAAAAAAATACTAACTGGAGCATTTCAGATTTTTCAATCAGATATGCTCAACTCGTTTAAGTATAATTCAAATATTCCAAAATCTGAAAAAAATCCCAAATCTAAACATTTTAGTCTCAATCATTTCAGATATGAGATACTCAACCTGTACTTAGGATATACAAGAATGAGAATTTATTAGTTTTTAAAAAAGATTTTTTGATTTGGGGGAAAGAAATCAAACTTGAATAGGCTTGCAAGAACTAAAAATGATGTCTTTTAAGTCTTATTTCTGAGACACATTTAATTTGAATACATTCAAGAAGGGTCACAGACACCCAAGTGTCACCAAGTGTCCCATCCTGGAAACCAGGAGATATATCTTCTCATACCTTGGGAGCCTAATTAACTACAGTCATGCCCCCAAATAATAATGTTTTGTTCAACAGACTACATATACGATAGTAGTACCATAAGACTAAAATATCACATTTTTACTGTACCTTTTCTACGTTTAGATAGATACTTTCATCATTGTGGTGAACCTGCCTATAGGATTCAGTATAGTAGCACGCTGTACAGGTTTACACCCTAGGAGCAACCGGCTACACCGCGGCCTAGGTGTGGAGTAGGCCATGCCATCTAGGTTTGTGTAAGTATACTCTATGACGTTTGCAAGATGATGGAACTGTCGAACGACACATTTCTCAGACGATATTCCTGTCACTAAGCGACACGGGCCTGTGCTATGTGATAAAAATGAGTCGCTGTCAACACACTAAAGACACGGCATTTCTCCTCCTCAGCCACGGCACACAGTGCGCTAGCACAAAGTCAGGCGGCTTAAGCTACTGGAAGAAACACCAAAAGAAGCTCAGAATGTACTCACCTGGTATCTTCCAGTGTCACCTGACCTGATTTTTCATCCACTACAATCTTACAGTGATCTCCAGAGACCAGTTTATTGCTGGGGAACGAAAGGTCACAACCTAAAAAAGAGAGAGTGGGACAACATGGGATATGATCGTGGGAACTGTGACCACTACTGCCCTTTGCTTTACTGAAGTACGTGGTTCAAACTCAGGATCTCCATTGCACATATGTAAAAACACACTTAACCAAGCAACGTATACAGACATTTTAAAAGTATTTAAGTGCTAACCCAAAGTAAAGGGGCAAGGACTATGTCCTGAACCTTTCTGAATCCCCATCCTCAAGGACACTCATCAACACCTTCAGCTACACACAGACTCTTAAATGGCAATTTTACAATGTGTACACATACACAGCTAACCTGGTAAGTATTATCGGAACTTTAAAAAAAACTCAGGGGCTTAAGTAATTCTTCAGTATCTAAATTTAGTCCTGAATTTCTTTTCTGTGTAAACTTAGGTTTCATAAATCATCATAAAATTGAAGCAACACAGTCACAGAAAAAGTGACTGAGCCAATTGTTTATAGGCATACGTACACACATAAGAAAATGCATCTTGTATGGCCGGGCGCGGTGGCTCAAGCCTGTACTCCCAGCACTTTGGGAGGCCCAGGCGGGTGGATCACGAGGTCAAGAGATC